TTCTTGGGAGCACATTTTTGTAGAAAAGAAAGGATAAAATAATTTAAACCATGTTTAGTAAATCGAGCATAAAAAATAACATGGGGATTAGCTTACTAGCTTAAGGGAAGGTCGATCTCCATGGGTTCTGCTAGGAGAAAAAATCTTATAAGCTTGAAGATAAAGTTGCTTCAGATTTATGATCCCCAGTCATCAAGGCCTTATAAGCGTTATGCATCTCTCATCCTCTCAGTAGCCTTGAGGTAGATGATTGGTAGCTTGGTAGCCATCATTTTAGAAATACCTTTAAACCACCCCGGAATCCTTATAATCTACTTTCCAATTTTAAGAGAAAGAAAATCTTCGACTGCTGTTTCTAAAATATAGCATTTTGGGGCCGAGCTTGAAGAAAAATAGTGATCCTCGATTAATACGATCCGTGACAAGGGATATACTAACTCTCAAATACCCCGAGCGGATAGGCTTGTTCGTCTGCGTGAGCAAAGCCTATAGTAGACAACCATAAGTCTAAGACCATGTTGGATGTATTTGGCTTTATAGTAAGCTTAATACTCATATAAAGAAGATAAAAGGGGCTCACTTAGGAAGTCCGAAACTCCCGGAGTGTTAAAAATTCTCTTAGAATCACTTATCCAAAAATTCTGTATGCCTTCATATATTCTAACAAGGGCCGAGCCCAAACTACCACTTAGCGAGATTGTAACATCATTAGTGGAGCTCGCCCGTCAATCCATGTTAGACGAAAATATTTGCTATCTTATATTTTCCTTTCTTGGTTTGCTTCCTGAGGGATGACGGTTCAAAGATAGCTCGACGTTATCACTATCTTGTTTGGAGATGAAGTTTCAAAATAATTCCTCATGATCAGGCTCAGATATCTCATCAGCTAAAACAACCTATGTTACTCAAAATGCATTTTTAATAAAACGAATATAAATGCATAGAAGCCAAAACACTAAAAAAAGAGAATTAAAAAATTAAAAACCACTAGTTAGAGAGAGAGAGAGCAGTCGTTCTAGAGAGAGAAGTTCTAAGCTTGCGTAAAATGGAAAAAAAGTGAGCAAATGAGAAATTGAAGTGCCTATTAAATAGAGAAAGATGTGGTCTTCCGGAAAGGCCTTGTAATAAATTGATACCTTGACCTTTAAGTTCGTCATAAAAACAAGACAGGCGCATGCGTCCTCGATTCCCTAAAAAAAAATTGGGGTTTGTTTTGAGCCTAATGAATGTAAGGGGAACTCTGTCAAAAGGTTTGTGTAAACTGACCCACTGTTGGACATAAATGGACCAGCATTTTTTGTGGACCTCTTGATAATTTTTATATATCTTATATGCTACTAAGATATATATAAATAATTACTTTATATATGATTAATATTCAAATCCCCTTAAGTATCTAAATAATGACAGGAAATATATTGAATAGATATCCTAAAATATTTTGTGAATAAAAATAGCCGATAAGATTTACTTTAACCAATTACATTATCCATTAATTCATTAATCCTTACAAATCTTCTTAAAAAATAACTCCCGCAAACCCTACAAAGAATAAAGAATAAATGATTAGAAGTAGTGGAGAGGTGTGTTGCTGCACTTTACCTTCTCTACCCATTTACCTATATAAAGAGGGAGTTTAAATGAAAAAAAAAAAAAAAAAAAAAAAAAAAACTCAAAAAACACATAATACCAGACTTATTTCTCTATTCTATTAATTCTTACTCTCTAAAAAAATTATTCAGGAAAACTCAAAGATACTTCTTCATATAAAAAAAAAAAAAAAAAAAAAAAAAAAACTCAAACACATATACAAGACTTATTTCTTCTCTATTCTATTAATTCTACTCTCTAAAAATTATTCAGAAAACTCAAAGATACTTCTTCATATTATCACTAGCCTTAGAGCAATCATGATTAGAAAGATTTTATTGTATTGTAATCTAAAATCACCAAGTATTATAGAAAAGATTATCTTATTTCCATTAAAAATATTAAAAATTTATATATTCCCTCTATTATTTATTTATGCATTTATTGAGTAATCTTATTCCTCTTTTAAATTAAATATTTCAAATCCAGTCCATTGGTCTAGTCGTGCAAATATGTTCATCTCACCTTTTAATGGAGGTCACACTATTGAGATTGTTATTATTCTCTTAGCGAATTATTTTACCTTTTAGTGTATTTAGAATAAAATTTAGTTTTAATTTCATAGATTTATTTGAAGTTGATTTTTAAATAAGAAAAAGAAAATTTAGGAAGAAAAATTATAGGTGAAACTACAGTACAAAATAGTTTTTTTTAATATCAATAAAGAAAATGATTTATATTGTCAAATTTAAAATGATTTATATTGTCAAAATTTTAACTTGTAATAATAATCATTAGATTAAATTATCGATCAGCAACTGCTTAATGGCTACACAAGTGAATTTAAAATGTGTTTTTTTATTTTTCTTAAATGATAGCTTTTTTTTTGTTTTAAAATAATTGGCAAAAAAGAATTTTAATGGCACAAAATCGTTCTTCCTCTGTTTCCCCAATCTTCGCTGGCTGCTTGCAGGAATTTTTGAGCTTGATCCTTTCTCTTTCTCGATAGTCCCTTGGAAATATAAATGGGCTAGAGCTCTCAATCATTTCAAAGGAATTTCTACCCTTTGGATTAAACTAGGAATCATATATTCGTTGAATGACTAGATTGGATTATGTTTCAAAATAAAAATCGTTCATTATTGAGAATTGTAATCTGAGAAGGGACTTCAACGTAGTTTGCAACAACAAAAGCCAATTGAATGGAGTGTCGGCTGAAACATATATGAGTAGCATTCTATTTATTCTTTATTTTCCTAGTAGCAATAATTCAAAGAATCATTTTCACAAACACTTAAAATGGATGTTCAATTACATCAACACACCAAACAATTAAGAGATATAATTAACAGACCTCAATGTGATTATGAACAGAGACACTCAAATCTTTTACTGCTATTGAAATCCAATGCTCAATGGAATGATTCTTGTGTTAATACCATTGATAGAGAATACTGATTTTGTCAATTTCAAAAATATTAAAAGATTGGGAGGGGAAGAAGTATAAATTCTAATTTTTTTGAAATAAAAATCTAAAATATTATTTCTAATATCCAAAGAATCAACAGCCCAAATATTATTTCTAATATTATTTTACCTTTTAGTCAATAAAATACCTATTAGGATTGTTATTATTCTATTAGCGAATTAGGTCAGATTTAAAGGGTGATTTAAGAGAGAGATCATAGATGTTTGAGATTAAAGAAAGGAACAATGCAAGATAAGAATTATTTAAAGGGTGAGAGAAATAATTGAAAAAAAAAAAAAGTAAAGGGATTGTGTTAAGAACTGTTATTAGTTACAATCTAAACTAGAGGCTTAAGGAAAGAATTATATGTTTGGGAGCTAAGAATGTGAGAGGACACAAGAAAAATAAGCAGTTACAAAGATAAAGAGAGGGAAAAAACGAAAAAACGAGAGAAAATCTGAAGAGAGAGAAAATGAATCTGAGTTGTATTTTGAATTTTCATTCAATCAAATACCATTCAACACATTGACAACTCATATTTACACAATTTATGCATGAAAGCCATTTCGGTATCACTGACACATGGGCAACATAATTACAAGCCATTTATTTAGCAAACTATCAAACCGAAAGTGAATTTAAAAGCTATTAGAATGCTAATTAATGTCATTAATATCAATATAAGTTTCATTATTCTTCTTAATAATATATTTACAACTATTTTATATTCTTTAATTTATTTTATCGTTAATTAAATTTTAATTTATACTTATGTTTTTTTATGAAATATTGTGAAAATAATACTATTTAATATTATTATACTAAACTTTTTGATTATTGTTAATGAGTTTACAAGCTAAATTTAGAAATACTCAAGATTAATAAAATCTATAAAATCTCTTTTTATTTATTTTCTTGAATGAGAATTTTCTAGGCAATTCATCTTTTTTTCTCAATTTTTAGTCAGCAATTTTTATATAAATAATTATAAAAAAAATCGGGCTAAACCGAATTGACTCGGTCCAATTGCGAACTAATCACCATGCTGGTTCATTATCAGGTCCGATTTAAAAAACACAGGTTGAAAGCATAATGGATTTGGATGTGTTGGAAATTAGTAAAGCGATGTACAAGAGAAGGACACAAATTAATGGCCAAACAAGATTGGATTTAGATTAATAGTTATAGAAAAGAGAGAAGGTGGAGATGATATCGATGAAAGTTATGATGATGAAGAATGGCAGGGGAGGGGGAATAGTTGACGAGATTGAGAGAGGAAGAATTTAAGAGTAATTTTCTTCCGCAAAACATTTCCATTTCAACAAGTTTACAAAACTTAGGTTATGTTAACCAAAAATTCAATTGTGGGTTTCACAAGAATTCTTTTTTGTTATTATTATTATTATTTTCAAACACCAAACCCTAATTTCATTTTAAAAAGTGTAAGAACTCTCAAATTTTTATTTGAGTGTGATTGTCAAAAGTTTTAAATTAGTGTGCAAGTGTAACGAGCCTTAAAATTGAGAGAATAAGTATACACTAAGTTTTGAATATGATGCTATTTCCGTTTCACGTTTGTAACACTATTTTCAAAAACGCTTTTTTTAAATTTAGATGAACCAATTAATTTATAGCTTTTCGAAGACTTACTATTCATATCACTATTTCTTTCTAAAAGAATACATGTATTAGATCAAATTAAAGCAGAATTTTAAGTAATAAAATTTAGCATATATGCGTATGTGTTAAACATAAGAATTGAGCTATTGTAAATCCACACATTTTGTAATTTATTCTACATAACTTTTCATCCTTAGATGTCTTTGATCAATTTTCTAACAAGAAAAGAGTGTTAGATATTCGTTTAAGATAATTTAATAACTTAATAATTTAATAAATTACAAGTAGCAAATCAAGTAAATAATAACAATAATTATTCAAAAGATCCTCCATGTAGATATATAGATATGTGGGTTTTCATCTCCAAGTTCTATAAAATATAAACCAACAGAAAGCCATACAAAAAGCAGAAAATCAAAATCATGCTAAAAACAGTAACCTTCAAAAGCGGCCATTGTTGCTGGATGCTGCTTTCGTTCTTTCTTTCTTTCTTCTTCTTCTTCTTCTTCACTTTCTCAACTTCGAAGTTGGAGAAGAGGGAAAATGAGGGAAAAACCAAAGAGAAGAAAAAAAAAAAAAAAGGAAAAGGAGAATTTGGGGAACGTGTGCTCTGGTTTAGCCACGTGGCAAAATATCAGTGGTTGGGTACTTTTGAGGAAGGCTGCTTTCTTTCTCTCTCTCTCATGCGCTGCCATGTCAGAAGTGAAAACCCCGTCCTATGACCCCGGCGAATCCGTATCGTATGCTTTCTCTCTCTAAAAAACTCTCTCTATATTTATTTCCATTTGTTGGCGTGTGCGGATGTCTCCCTCTTTTCTCCCTTTCTCTCTCATATCTCATATCGTCTCTCTGCGTTCATGCCCTAATTTCTCTACATATCCGTCTTACTGGTTCCTCCCTCTCAATCTATCTTAGTATTGGAGAAAAGTTACAAACTTTGTTTTGATTTTTGATTGGTGAGCTTGTTTTCCTATCTGGGTACTGTTGTATGTCTTTGTTTTAGTTGTTCATTGATTTAAGTTTTGTGGGTTTTTCAATTTGTCAACTTGGAGCTAATTTTTCATGTGTTATGATGTCTGTACTGTGGTGATATTGCTTGATTTGAGAGATGTTGCTTTTACTTTCATTGGTTGATGCTGGATGGTTTGGGAATTCGTGGTGATTCGATAATTGGGCTTTTGATAGAATGGGGTTTTGGGTTTATGTTAGAAATGTGCATGATTGGTTAAGTTCTTCTGGTTTTAAATTTTCATTTTGGGACTAGTCCCGCTGATAGTAGAGGTATGTGCTGGACATTTGATAATTGTAATTGTTTAATTTAGATTGTTAAACTGATTGCATTGTAGAGCTTGTGGTTGCTTTGTTTATTATTGATGTTTATAGTTGGTTGTTGGTGTGTCGGTATTTTGTATTTGTTTATTCCAGATGATTTAAATTGCTTTTCAGAAACATGGTATATCACTGGTATGTCGTGCCAAGGTCAATTTACATGTCGAAGGTGATAGTTGAAGTCAATAAGTTTGATTGGTTTTGGTATGTAATCATGAATCTATTGCCTAGTATCAGAAACTAAATTATGCTTGCTGTCATTAGCCTGATGTACATGCTGAAGCATTATTTTCAAATGCCAGTTTGTCTTTCAATTCTGAGCTCTTGTTGATTGTGCTAGCTATGACGTGTCCCTCATATCATCCTTAGATGGACTTGATTTTTGTAATGGTGTGTTATTCTTTCTGACTTTAAGTGGGATGTGTGTAATATGTAACACACTTATCATGTTCTATTTTGTTGTTTTTTGATGCCTGTTTTTGTTTATCCTAATTCCTTGATAATGTTGAAAGGGACATTGAGGTTTTTGCTTGTGTTTATCTTAGTTGTTATGAAGCCACTTTCCTGGGTCTCCTTCACTAACGCACTCTATGCTTGTGTCAATTTAAGGTGTGAATGTAATGCAGTGGATTGAGAGATGAAGGATAGTGGTTCCGCGGCTAGTAAAATGATAAACAGAAACTGGGTCTTGAAGCGCAAACGAAAAAAGCTTTTATATGGGCGAGTTCTTTCCAATGGTAAAGAAGAGAAGGTAGCATCCCCGGAATCTCCCAGGAATACTTCTGCTGCTAAACGCAAGCCAAAGAGTGAATTGAGTTCTGATATATCTTCATCCAAGAAAAAGGGAAATGATGGGGTGAGCTATTATTTGTTATTCTGTTTGGTAAACTTCTCCTTGTTTATCCTAAACTCCCATGATGAAAAGCTATTAATTGCAATTGTTAGTTCTTTATGATCCTTGTAATGAAGACTTTTATAATCTTTAAAATCTTTAAGAGGAAGCCCTGATGGTTGATAAAGATTTGATTTTAATGCTTCTGCTATACTGTGCTGGTATTGCCTCACCAATGTTTCCGTCACACTGCATAAACAAAATTTTGATCAAACTTGAGTTTAACCAGCAAAGTGATAATATTAAAACCTCCTCATCTGATCATATCCTCCAATCAGTGTTAGGAAAATTCTTAAATTAGCAAAGGCAATAAGTTCTATTCGTGTGTTTATCTATCTGCAAATAAATGTTTATTGCTTACTTTTTTTAATCAAAGAATCCTCTTTTCAGTTGCTAACAGCATTTCTTGGAATTGTCTGTTTTTGACCAGTCTGGGTTGTTCCCCATCTTAATTTTGATGCTAGCTTCCACATTTTGATCATTTTCAAGCATACTAATATGAAGATTGGACTATAAGGGTAACATGCGTGGAGTTGTTTGATTTGTCTCTTTGGTCAAGTCATCTATCTGCTTGCATAATTCCCATGTTGTACATCCTCTATATGTCGGATGTGGGGCTATGTAATTTTGCTTCTCAAATGTTTCCCTTTCTGTTTTGTATTTTACTTCTCGCAATGTTTCCTTTTTTGTTCTTATTACAAAGTACAATATTATAAAATAGTCAAAGACACGCAATCTGAATTGTACTGTGCAAGCCTTTACAAAACTAATAATGAAAACAATTCAATCAATAATCACTTTCAAGCACTCAAAAACTTAGTCCAATTACACCCAAAAGTTTTTGCTCTCAGCATGCTGTTCTATGTATAACACCCTGAACAAAACACTCTTGCATGCAAGTAAAACTTGCATGAACCTTCACAACTCAAGTTCGGCTTGTTTCTGTTGATTCACACACCTCACAATATTGGGCTGGGGCACACTCAACTCACATTACGCAGAAACTCACACCTATACATGTTTGTCTGTATGTAAGCTTACTTTGTGAGCTTATCAAGTCATGGACAGCAAAGATTGCAATAGTAGGCTTGACTGAAGTTCACATCACATTCTTCAAGAGTTCTTCTTTTTTCCTTCCTTTTTACTTAAGTTTCCAACGCTACAGTGAAATTTCGGGATGCATTTACTCTGTTTATTCTAATGTTTACACATTATGTAATGATCAAATCTTGTTAGTTAAGTTAGTGATGAATTTTTATAATTCATAATTGTGTGAGAATTGAGAATTAGATTTTTTTTAAAATCAATTAGATTTTTTTAAAAATCTTTTAGATTTTATTCCATGTTATAGATGTTTGTTATATTTTATGTGTCTGTTGCAATCTTGACTGTTTAGTCTTATCCTTTTCTCAGTATTACTATGAATGTGTGATCTGTGACCTTGGTGGCAACTTGTTGTGTTGTGATAGCTGCCCCCGAGTCTACCATCTTCAGTGCCTTGATCCACCTCTTAAGGTATGTCGTTTTATATTATTGTCTTACAGTAATTGACTTGTTCCCAAAATTCTGCAAGATTAATAATACTCATTGGATGTTATCCTCATATCCTAATTTTGATATTCTGATGCCTAACTTGAAGCGCATTCCAATGGGGAAGTGGCAATGCCCTAAGTGCTGCCAAAAAAGTGATCCGCTTAAGTCAATTACCCAACTGGATCCCATTTCCAAGCGGGCGAGAACAAAACTAATTGCAGCAAATTCGAAGACTGGAGTTAGATCGTCTGACAGTGACAAGGTATCCCAGCTCTTTGGAACCCCTATACTTTCCAAACGAAGATCCTCCAGCAAAGGGAAATCTGTGTTAACCTTTGGAGTTAAATCCTGTGTAAAGGAACCAGATTCTTCCTTGGATGTATCTAGTAGCACCAAGCCAAATGATCTGCCCCTTGGTGGTTTTATAGAGGGTACCTCATCATTTGTGAACATTGATAATGGAAAGCAACCCGACATGTCTCCTTCTATGTCACCTGATAAGAAGTCAATTTCTCTTGCTGAGGAAACTTCGTCTCATTCTAAACTTACAAAATCAGGGCCAAATGATGAAGCATCTGATGGGAAGCATGAGTTGTCTGGCAATAATGGATTGACAGTAAAGAAAATTGTTCTTGCAATTGGTGCTGCCACTAAGAAAGACAAAAAAAGAAAACATGAAGACATTGATGGGGACAGTGTAAAGAAGCATAAGACTGACAAGGGGAAATGTGCTTCTAAGAAACGGGGATCAAAAGCCAATAATACTACTCCTCCTGGAAGTAGTAAATTGCAGAAGAAACGGAAAAAATTGAGTAACGGGGGTTCTACATCTTTGTCGAAGAATGATGTTGGAACCAAGAATGTAGATTCGCGGGGAAAGAATGAGGTATCTTTTTCTTTGGATTATTTATGGTTTCTATTAGGTTCTGTTGGTTATTTCCTTTCCAAGCGGATTCCTTGGAAATTTCTTCTCAGAGCATAAAACACCTTGGTAGTTAGTGAAGTAGTGGTTGGTACAACGTATTCATTTGTGGACTTCCTCTGTCTTCATTCCATTGTTTTAACATTTTGCAACTCCTGCCCTTATTTTACATCTCATTTTTTATTGATTACCTAACTACATGAAATTTCTGTTATCCACTCTTAATTTGGGCGTATGCGGTGTATTAGTTGGAAGTTCAGTTTGCTCTTGATGATATTATTTTTGGCTTTTACTTTGGGCTGACTATTTTCCATTCATGCACCTAAATTTCATGTCTAGTGATCTTTGTCATCTTCAGGATATTATAAGTTTTGTTGCCATAGAATGCTATTATTGTCATTTCTAAGGCTTTTGTCAGGAAAGGAAAACTTTTCTGTATGATTATCACAATTTGATGCATTTTTTTTTATCAGAAGCTTCCTGAGGAACTTGTGCACCCATCAAATGAGTCATGTAAAGCTGGAGGTCATACAGATGAAACTCGAATATGCGATGATGTCGTTATCCCTGAACTTCTACAGGTCAATTAACTCCTACTGAAAAATTTCATAAAATTTATTCTATTTGTGTCTTTTATGAAGAATAGTGCTTTCATCTTGAGTTTGCAACTATTCACAGATTTTAATTTGCCATTTATCTTTAAATAACAGGTCGATCGAGTTTTGGGATGTCGAATTCAAGGTGATAATTCAAGTTCTTCACCTTCTGCATCTTTGATTGCTACAGATGACCTGCCTTCTGATGAATTGCTTATTCCAGAAACTCAAAATAGAGATGAAAATTCTAGTTGTGATATTGATTCAGATGTAGCAGTTGCTGAAAATCTTGCAGAGGGCTGTCCTGGCATCGACCAAATTTTTGACAGGGGTGAAAGCATGAAGAATGACATCAAAGTGGAAAAAATAAATGTATATAAAAGATCTGCCAGTAAAGATTGTAAAGGAGGAAATTTCAAGGATATAGTGGGGAAAGAGGACAAGGGTTCAGATTCTAAAAGGATGAATGTTGAAGACCAAAAAGAGTCTGCAGAAACTATAGATTCTCTAAAACAACCTGAAAAGGTGGTGACAGAGGATAATATTGATTTTTGTTTGAAAAGTCAAGATGTGGTTGCAGTTTCCAAGGATCATGAACCACATTTATCTCCTGAAATCAAAGTCAGAAAAGAAGCAGATGTTGAAATGAAAATGAGAAGTGAATGTGAAAATAAAGTTCCAGGGCCTGCCTCAACAGAACATACATGTGGTAATGGGGATACAATATCATATGAATTCTTAGTTAAGTGGATGGGGAAGTCTCATATACACAATAGTTGGATTTCTGAATCTCAGCTGAAAGTTCTTGCAAAGAGAAAACTGGAAAATTACAAGGCAAAGTATGGAACAGCGGTTTTAAATATATGTGAGGAAAAGTGGAAGCAGCCTCAGCGAGTAATTGCTCTACGTGCTTCCAGAGATGGTACACAGGAAGCTTTTGTAAAATGGAATGGCCTTCCTTATGATGAATGCACTTGGGAAAGACTGGATGAACCTGTTCTGTTAACATCTCGACATCTGATTGATCTGTTTGATCAGCTAGAACAGCAAACATTGGCAAAAGATTCTACAAAGAGTGATCTAAAAATGGGAAGAGTTGATGGTCATCAAAATGAGATTTGTACTCTCACAGAGCAACCTAAGGAGCTAAAAGGTGGTTCCTTGTTTCCCCATCAGCTTGAAGCATTGAATTGGCTGCGGAAATGCTGGTACAGATCAAAAAATGTGATCCTTGCTGATGAGATGGGGCTTGGGAAAACAGTATCTGCTTGTGCTTTTATTTCATCACTGTATTTTGAGTTCAAAGCTTCTTTGCCTTGTTTGGTCTTAGTTCCGCTTTCCACAATGCCTAACTGGGTTGCTGAGTTTGCACTGTGGGCTCCTAACTTAAATGTCGTGGAATATCATGGGTGTGCAAAAGCTAGGGCCATAATTCGCCAATACGAGTGGCATGGTAGTGATCCAAACGAGACTAATAAGAAAACTGCTGCTTATAAATTTAATGTTCTTTTAACTACATATGAAATGGTTCTTGCCGACTCCTCGCATTTACGTGGAGTTCCCTGGGAAGTTCTCGTGGTGGATGAGGGCCACCGTCTAAAGAATTCAGAGAGCAAGCTGTTTAGCTTGCTCAATACATTCTCTTTCCAACACCGTGTTCTCTTGACTGGAACCCCACTTCAAAATAACCTCGGTGAGATGTATAATTTACTTAATTTCTTGCAGCCAGCTTCATTCCCATCTCTATCTTCATTTGAGGAGAAATTTAATGATCTTACAACTGCGGAAAAAGTGGAGGAATTGAAAAAACTTGTTGCTCCCCATATGCTTCGACGGCTTAAAAAGGATGCCATGCAAAATATCCCTCCCAAGACTGAACGAATGGTTCCTGTTGAGTTAACTTCTATCCAAGCCGAATATTATCGTGCAATGTTAACAAAAAACTATCAGGTATTACGGAATATTGGAAAAGGTGTTGCCCAACAATCCATGCTAAACATTGTAATGCAGTTGAGAAAGATTTGCAATCATCCCTATCTCATACCAGGCACTGAGCCCGATTCTGGGTCACTAGAATTCCTTCATGAAATGCGAATAAAAGCTTCAGCCAAGCTGACTCTTTTGCATTCCATGCTAAAAGCATTCTATAAGGAAGGCCATAGAGTTCTTATTTTCTCACAGATGACCAAACTTCTAGATATACTTGAGGATTATTTGACTATAGAATTTGGTCCTAAAACTTATGAGAGAGTGGATGGATCTGTATCTGTCTGTGATCGTCAAACAGCAATATCTCGTTTCAACCAAGATAAAAGCCGATTTGTGTTTTTGTTATCAACGCGGTCTTGTGGCCTTGGAATTAATTTGGCAACAGCTGACACTGTCATCATTTATGATTCTGATTTCAATCCACATGCTGATATCCAAGCAATGAACCGGGCACATCGTATTGGACAGTCAAATAGGCTTTTGGTGTATCGACTCGTTGTTCGTGCTAGTGTTGAAGAACGCATCTTGCAGCTTGCTAAAAAGAAATTGATGCTTGACCAGCTTTTTGTTAATAAGTCTGGAACTCAGAAGGAAGTGGAAGATATTCTACGGTGGGGAACAGAGGAACTTTTTAGTGATTCTTCTAGCATCAATGGGAAAGATACTGGTGAAGGTAATAACAACAGAGACGACCTTGTAACAGATATAGAGCAAAAGCAGAGGAAAAGGAGTGGTGGCCTAGGGGATGTTTACAAGGATAAATGTACAGATGGTGGCAGCAAGATTGTCTGGGATGAAAATGCAATTGCAAAATTGCTTGACCGTTCAAATCTTCAGTCGGGGACAGCCGATGTTGCCGAAGTGGATTTTGAGAATGACATGCTTGGCTCTGTAAAGGTAATATATCATACTTGTGGAAATAATATGATGCATAACTTATTCATGAATTTCACTATGGCAAACTAACTATTTTTGTTGTCATATTTAACACGACCAAAGTAAAGCCAGCAGAGCATTGATGTATTACAGTTGGCAAAATTAGAGTCAAACCTCATTTTAGGTTGATATGAAAGCTAGCAATTTTAGATATGCAGATAGTAGGTGTTTTTAAGTGAGTATGTATATTATTAATTAAGTTATTAGGGGTGAAGGCACAGCTAGGCTTAAAGAGGGTTCTAAAGGCTAGGTGCAAGCCACAAGGGGCAAGCAAGCACCTACAGAGAGAATCAGAAGCAAAAGAATAAATTTTTCTAGAAAATTTCAAAAGTACATCTGACATTCACAACAAATTCAAAATATTAGCATGATGACAAACATTATATAAAATCCAAATCAAGGTAATAAAAGAAGGCATAATATTTGTTTATATTCAATTATTGGCATTGCAACCAATTCTTAAATTATGTCTTACAATTACAAACATCACTCTACCAAGATGGAAAACAAAATTTATACATGTGCAAACATCAAATATGTACGTAATAGTAGAGCTGGTCCAACTCTTATTTACTCAATATGGACAACTTTTTCTTTTTCCTTCTCTTGATGGAATTCTATTCTCCACCCTGAAGCCTGTCCTAGACTACAGTTGAGGAGCTAATATGTGTTTGCGAGAGAGAGCCCTTGGAGTAAGTTGGGAGGACAGATATGTGAGGCACTTGATTGTTGTAATATTTTAGTATTCAGTTCTATAATAAATTTTCTCGTAATATGTAATTGTGATAATGTTTTTCTCTAATTATTTTTCTATCAATTACTGAAAAATAACTGAATAACCAAATTGAAATATGTTTGGTTTGGTTAGGTTAGTTTTTTAGCATATGCAGTTCATTGCAATAAACTATTTAGGGGTGTAAACAAGTTTGATTAGTTTGGCAGTTCAGTTTGGTTAACTGAATTCTAAGTCCTGCCTGCTCCTATGGTTACTTTGATGGAATCTAGGCCATATCACTAAGTTTGTAACCGTTGAAATGTACTATTTCTTGAGCTCCATGCTGTCTACATCATTTGCCACATTTGCTTTTGTAATGGATTTGGCAGTTTCCTTGTATCGAAATGTTTGTTGGAATCGTCTGACTTGACTTGAATTTACTCCAGCTTGTCTAAAGCTGAATTTAGTGAAGTAGATATGTTAGCATCAATTCTGAGATGGTTGAATGGTTGCAATAGGAATTGCTTTATAGATGCTCCTCACTCGCTGCTAGTCACCACTATCTCAGAAATGTGTATGAGGTGAATCTGCTTATAAACGTTTAGGGGATACCTCTCTCTGTATTGAATTTTTCTCCTAACAATTTAGTGGTTAAAATTGAATATACTATCAATTTTAGAGGAATCTTGGTGTCGAATTTCATATTAAGCTCTTGTTTAATAGGAAAGGTTATCAATATTGGACTACAGGAACTCATAATGTTGTTTTCCAGATTTATTCCTTCCAGTGCAAGTTTGTGTTCTATCTTAATTCACTCATTCGAAAAATGTATTGATTCACTGCGAAGAAAATTATGGAAACCATATTTTGTCCTTTGATTTTCTTGGTCTTTCTCAAACTTTTCTTTATTTACCTGCCTCCACCCCTTTTTGCCATAAACTAGCCCTTTCAGAACTGTCTCTGGGTCTTGAGATGCTACTCATGGTTTTTAATGTATTTAGTGCAATTTTTTCCCTAATTTTGGTTGTGGATTTTGCTTCACTATTTTATTTATTTATTTATTTTTTCCAGCGTATATTTTTAGTGAATCATCTAACAAGGAATACAAAGAAATGAAATCCCGCTTTTGTTTTTTTTTTGGATAAAAAAATAACCCAATTTTCTCCCAAGCAGTCAGTGGAATGGAATGATGAAACAACAGAAGAGCAAGTTGGAGCCGAATCACCTTCTGTCATGGCTGATGATGTTTCCGGACAAAATCCCGAGAGGAAAGAGGATCCAATCACTGTAACTGAAGAAAATGAATGGGACAGGCTTCTGCGCTCAAGGTGAGGAGCTTTTACCTTTGGTCACAGTTTTTACACCTTCATGTATTTATTTTTCCTCAATTCACATACTGTAAAGAAGAAATTAAATTTATAATGTTATTTTGCCATGTGAGAAAGAAAAAATTGTTTCAGTCTGTGCCAACCTATTTGCAAGAGGGAAATCATTTATGAGGCAAAAATTTGAAGAAGTCTAAGGCAGCTTGTATATCCTCAATTTGCTGCCACTGACATGAAATTTCTTTTGACATCTTTTTAAATATTGATAGAACTATATCTTCAAGATTTTTTGTCCCATGATGGTTGATATAAATCTTCGAAAGGCATTGAGAAATGAAAGAGGCGATGCATATTGGTACTATAATAGTGACAAAATTATGAAATTGATACTTTTTGCTGAGATCTGACCATGTGGGATCGATGATAGCATTTTTTACTCTGACAACCCCAAGTATGGGGGTCGTAGATTAGTTACAGTAGCCACAAATGTGAGAACAATGCAGGGAGCAATGAGAGAATGCAAATGTCTTAAAATATTTAATATCTAGAAAATATTGGATGGTGCTTTTATCTTATGAAACATGTGGCTCATGCAGGTAATGGTATACGTTAAATTAGTTTTTTATTACTTCGACTCATACAGGCTGTCTATCACTAGACAATTGAATTACTGTGCTTCTCCAAACTTGGAGAAGCGTGGTAAGCGGAAGTTGCTCTTGACCTTTAATGCTTTAAAATTCTAGTAAACAATGGCAAGTATAGTTTTCTGAAGATCTTGATTTGACTTTGGAACCTGAGGGTATGTAAATATCTGTTTTTCTCCAATTTGACTTCCATGTATTTTCTAAATTAATTAAACATGGGATGTTTGTGAGGATAACCATGGTACAATAGTAAGGTTACACGAGTTTGATTTGATTTCATTGGTTTTAAGCATAGAAATAATTTCCAAAGCAAGGGGGGGATGGGAGGCTGGAGGCTGCATATAATTAATAACTCCTGAACCCCTGCCATATAGAAATTATCATGAATTGAGATGTCCTGTTGTTCATGGGATGCATCCCTTGTTTGGCAAGAAGGAAGAGAAAATAGGTTTAACTATAACTTTTAGAACTAAAAGAGAATTTGAAGAAATGACGCAGGGGAAGAATATAGGGCAATTAATTGTCAACAACTAGGCTAGAATAGGATGATTTTGGTTGGAACAAAATAACATATCGGTTTCAAAGAAACTCTTAGAATTAAAATTCTGAATTCATAGATAAAAAACAATATCCAAAACTACTTGTTGCTGTCCTATCTGTATTAGTTAGGAGAAATCCTAATTCTATAATGAAAGCATTCCTAATTAGCTAATATTCCTAGGCTGAATAGTATTTCTATTTAGCTAAATCCTAAATAAAGAAGGAAAATTGAAAGTTATTTCCTGATTAATTGACATTCTTTAATTTAATTAAGAATCCTAAACAAAGAAGGAAACTAAAAGAAAACTTCTTAATTAGTCTTGAATGCTCTGGTTTTTAAAGCCAATAGAAATAATTTCAAAAGCAAGGGGGGGATGGGAGGCTGGAGGCCTGCATATAATAATAACCCCTGAACCCCTTTTTGCATATAGAATTTATCATGAATTGAAGGATTGTCTGTTTGTTTCGAGATGGGATCCACATGCTCCACCATCGTGTATGTGGTACACAAGAAGGAAGGAGAACACTCAGGTTTAAACTCTTAGGATTACCGCTGTTTAGACACAGCTAAAGACACAGAAGATATCGTTGACACGAAATGAATACAAGTCGAGTGGAAGTCCATAGTATTATGGCCGCTAAATTTAATTGTCAACCAACTAGGTCATATGGTACAATTGTAAAGGGTAATAATGATGTTTGGTTGGAACAAACATGAGAAACAATTAGGTTGCCGGTCATTGTCACAAAGAAAAGTCCGCCTATAGAATTATTTAAAAAATGTCTCTTGTTTAATTTCGATTAACGATAAAAATACGCCAACTAATTAAGTCACCCAAACCGTACTTCGATATTTTGCCTTGTATTGTGAACTAAGTGAAAGGGACATAAAGAACAATTTGATAGAATTTTAAGTGTGGGGTGATATGTCAATAGACCCGCGCGGCCCTCTATAGGAACTATTTCCCATATAGCATGCTCCAACATGTAGTTTTTGGTTTCTTTGGTATTAGTTTACTGGAATATCTATATTTAATATCATAGATTGTATAGAGGATTCATTCATTAGCTAGATATATGCCTTCCAATAGGGTGTCTCGAGAGAGGTTATTGTGCTGCTACTTTAAGCACTAATACTCCATAATTACAAGAAAAAGAAAATTGACATCAAGTTATTTTGTCCTGAATTTAAGCAATTTTGCACTTTACTCTTATTTTATTTATAATTAAGATACAATCCATAAAAAATACACAGAAGCAAGCATGAAACTATATTGCATAGACCCACTAAGAAAACCTTCTTAAATTGAGTTTCTCTTTGTAATTGCCCTTGGTCCCTATGCCAAAATCCAAAATTCCTTCGTAATTAATCCTTCCTTAGGTTAATGGTGAAGAAGAAAATTCAATTTGGCGCGCTTCGAACAAGAAAATCTTAGATATTTTCAGCCAATGAGAATAAGATCAATTTGGTGCCCCAATTCTCTTAGAATACCAGACGCACAAGCTTTATAAAGGAGACTATGGTACCTGTCATAGAGGAGGCACAAACTTTAATCACACAACTAGCCCACTCAATTTATCTCTTATAACTATCTCTCATTTTTATTATGTAAGCTCCCAGCAGAGCCTTTGGTCTTTTCACCCAACCCAAAACCCTATAAAGAATCCGTCTTTCATTCAGTGTTTTGCAGCCTTATCTAGCCCCTTACCTTGCCTTGAAAAAGAATGTATTTCCAACTCCATCGGAACCCTACCTGCCTTCAAACCAAATGTCCTGCCTTTTGGGCCAGTTTAATGCTAATCAACATCCACGAGTAAAATACTCTTTTGTGAGAATACATCCTTTCCTTTGTTTTTTCCCAACCTTCAATGTTCCCCAAATCTTTTGTTCTTCTTTCTTTTAAGGTGTAATAGAACCCTGCTCGACAATTGTGCAGTCCATCTTGTACCTCCCTGTGCCTCAAGAAACTAGATTAATTTCCTTGCCTCTTCCTCCCCATCAATTAATACCCAAACCCATCGTCTAATGGACGCAACTCATGGTTTTCCCACATAAAGGTCCTGTGCGTTAGCCCCTTCCCTTCACTGATTTGATCCGGATAGCTCTTAGCAGGAATAATTTAGCTCAACTGGAAAAACCTGTCCGCATTGCCTGCCTTGTTTTCTTCATTTCTCCCTTCTCACAGCGTAAGATTGCAATGCAACCATCTTATCGAAATGTTGTTTTATCTCACCGCCCAATCTAAATAATATGCTGCATTTCCTTCCTCCATGAAGAACAGCCCTTACTTTCCAATCTTCTATTATTGCCCTTTCCTACCTACCCATGCCAACATCCAAGTGGTGCGTCTGTATCCGAACCAAAGTAATTTCCCGGGATACCTTAACCCATTAACAATATTCTACTCCGAACAGCGCGCTAAGATCTGTTATTATCAGCGTATTTTTTTTGCTATGATTTTATTATTAAATTCTCTTTAAATGGCACAATGTCACACAGGTAAAATTGAAGTTATTTTCCTGATTAATTGACCATCACCACTTTAAATTTAATTAAGCACAATGCCTTGTGAAGAGATATATACAAAATGAAGGATTATTCCTAGAAATGAAATATCTTGCTCTTCGTCTCTGTAAGCAGGATATTGTAAGTCAACCTTGAAAATCTACTCCTGTCAGTCAATCGAAAAGCGCTGAATTTGAGTATTAACTAGTGTTAATGTTAGCGCCGCGGAGGTTTGGAGCAATGTCTCATCAAGATGAACATCTTTCGCCGCGCGCTTAATGAATCCATTGTTAATACAATAATTTTTTGCGTCTTCTGTCTCCACCTTAAACCCAGCGCATTGATAGAACAATTTCACGCTACACAACTATTTGAACAAATCAGACGGCGCTATTTTTCTGATGAAAACATAAAAATTCAATAGCCCTTCAAAATAAGGCTTTCAAGTTCCCTTGTTACGACCAGGAGATTAGGACAAGCCAAGTATTCTCTTCCAACAATGCACCTATGTGACGAGAGAACTGTTTTGGCTGTTTATGACGTGAGCGACTTTTAGGATAGAATTATTTTCCTTCCAACGGTGTTATAATGTATTGGTTAGTCGTTATATGGATTTTACCTTACGGGCCATGCACACATGTATCTTTTCCCCTTTTTCCGTACGGCAATCCCGCAAACAAGATTTGCCCGTCTAGGCTATGTCTTAATGCCTTGGTGGTCCATACTAAGGCTTCGATAGGTACGGATTCATGGTCTTAAAATTTCCCCTTTTTTATTTGATTATTTCCTGATCAATTGGCATTCCAGGAACTGGAAACAATTTTTGTTTCTTGGCGCAGTCGTTATTATGATTCTGTTCTTTTTTAGTACAACATAGTTTGGCTTGTATTGAAGAGTTTACTCCACCATAAGTCCTTGATGCACTCATGTCAGTTAGAGTGATTTTGGGAGCACAACCTTACACATGGGAATTCTTCTTGAGATCTTTGAAAAGCGCTATGGTCAATTCTTCTATAAAAAACACTCTAATAAATTTTACATTAATTGGGCTTAATTCATTAGGTTATTTGTAAATATCCTAAAGGAAATCTTTCTAAAGGAGCTTGTGCTTTATTTTTAAATTGTTGTTCTATTTTAAATTTTTAATTTTTGATTGCACTAGCCTTCTTGCTTGAAGATGTATATTCAACTCCATGGACTACTTGCTTCAAACAATCTGCTTTTGGCAGTTTTATGCTATCAACATCCACGAGTAAATACTTTTGTGAAGAATAACAATCTTCCTTTGTTTTTCCACCTTCAATGTTCCAATCTTTTTGTTCTTCTATTTTAGGTGTAATAAGAACCTGCTGAATGGCAGTATTTTCTCCTTGGCTAGAAACTAGATTAATTTCTTGCTCTTCTCCATCATTATACACATCATAGATTGGTTCCATAAGGTCCTTGTTGCTTCCTTCACTGATTTGATCATCAAAATATGGAACTTCTTTCTCCTTTTCATTCTCCTTAGGATCATCAACATCTATCAATGTTGTTATTCCCCAATCTAAATAATATGCTGCATTTCTCCATGAAGATCAGCTACTTCAATCTTCATCCCTTCACCATGCAAATCAAGGGTGTGTAGTGACAAGTATTCCTAATTAGCTAATACTCCTAGACTGAATAGTATTCCTATTTAGCTAAATCCTAAATGAAGAAGGAAAATTGAAGTTATTTCCTGATTAATTGACATTCTTTAATTTAATTAAGAATCCTAAATAAAGAAGGAAACTAAAAGAAAATTTCTTAATTAGTCTTGAATTATCCTGCAGCAAGAAAGCTGAATTTAGAGTATTAAATTATGACCGATTGACAATGTCTATCAGAATTTTCTTATAGATCATTGTTAATAAATATTTGCTTTCCACTTAACAGATTGAAGAACATTCACTAACAACTATTGACAAATCAAGGCTTTTCTATGAAACAAAAATCAATAGTTAAATGTTCATGGGATTAGATAAAGTATTTCCACAAGATTTTGGTTTTCGTTAGATTAGATAAATTATTTCCACGATTTTAATTTTCGTTATATGGATTTTCTTACGCATAAATTATTTTCCTTTCCGTACGGAATCCAAATTTGCTAGCTTTTAGCTTGGTGGTCATAATAAGCCATGTTTCCTTTCTTTTGACACATTTTATCATTGAAGTCCAAAATTGAAGCTAATGAGACTGGAAAATTTATGGATTCTTTTGATTGAAAAGTATGTCATTTTTTAAATAAAAATTATTAATGCTTCATTAGGTTATTTGTAATATTAGGGTGGTTTTTATGGTTCTTATTTTTATTTTGAAAGCAAGAATTAAGTTATTGTAGTGGACAATGTTCGAAATCCGGCTATTATCACTTGTTTCATTGATGATTTTTTGGGAGCTTATAAGTTTGACGTACTTTATCTTTTTTGCTTTTATTTAATTGACGTTCAAATTTCTCTTTTAATTTATTTCTAGGAATAGGACACTGGTTTATATGGTTATAACTATATCTGTAATATTTTCCTACTGAGGGACGAATATATTTCGGAATTTCTAGCTTTGGTTTGTTGATTATATTTGGTGCCTCAGACTTGAATTTCTCTATCTTATTCTTTGTTCTTTATACAATTGTCCTCTTTCTTTACTAGCAAATTCCCTCAAAACCTAAACTCAGAGAGAATACTCAAACTTAAATTCCCACCTGAAACTTGGCAATCCTTATACTTAAGTTTCTGCTTCTGAGGTTATACAGAAACTCATTTCCCTAATTAACAAACTCAAAATTTAAAATGGAACCTTAATTTTAATTTTTCTCCCACAATACATTTTTTACATGATGTCTTGCATCATTTGTTTTGATAATGAAGAAAACATGATTTTAGTGGGCACAATGAACAATCAGTTTCACACTTTACCTTAAAGAAAAAGCTTACCTATTCAAGGATAGTAATATAATTTATATAATATTATTCATATAAGAACTTGAATGTAATACCTACGAAACATGAAATTGAACTTCAACGGTAGATGAAAAGTGGACAAAATGGTTGAAGCATTTTGGGTGAATCCTACTTAGTTAAGGCCATGCTTGTTCTAGATTGTATTTTCCAGTTTAATGAGTGAAATTCTATCAATTCCTTAGTCAGCTTGACCAATCATAAATGAGGTTAGAAGTACAAATTTATATTTTGTAATAAAAATGAAATTTAATTAATTAGAAACCCTTTTTCTCCATCTTCCCATTTTTTTTCTCCTCTGAACAATTAATGATTGGAACTAAACATGATCTACATTCGTGTTTTTAGAATTAATGGAATAAGATTCCGATTTAATGGTCTAAAAAATTGGGTCTATTACGCTATTTAAGCTTCATTAAATCTATGAAACGTGCTATAATTGCACAAGATTCCGGTTCTTGTCAGACTTAATTACTGTGATTTAACCTAAATCTTGTATGATTTACTAGGTTCTTAGATCGGAAAAGTTCAAAATGAGGAGGAAGCACTCATTCCTATTTCAATACCAAAATGGAATTTAATTATTCCTCTTTCTTCTCTCCACTCTCCCTTTTCTTCTCTTCAATGAACAATTTAAAACCAAGTACGATCTGAGTTTGTGTTTTTATATGGTAATACAGCTTGATGGAATATAATTCTGATTAATTTCGTAGCTACATTTGCATTCTATTGCTCTCAATTAAGCTTTATTAAATTTATGGAACATGCTCTGATTTTACGAACTTTCTGTTTTTGTCAGACTTTGAATGGAATTATTTACTCTAAAATCTTCTTGTATGGTTTACTGGGTTTTAGATGGGAGAAATATCAAAATGAGGAGGAAGCAGCTCTTGGTCGAGGAAAGCGCCTGAGGAAAGCTGTTTCTTACAGGGAAGCTTATGCTCCGCATCCGAGTGAAACATTGAGTGAGGTACAATTTATTTGCTTCCGCTGTAAGAACAAATCACTTACCTAAGGCTATTAAAAATATTTTCTGTTGGATGAATTCTTTTTGCTAACGTCAGTTATGTCCCAATGAAGACTGGGCTAAAGGATCTCTAATGATGTCGGTTACAAAGTCAAAGCCATAAATTAATTTCTTTTTCTATACCACTTTTTTTCATTCCTTTGTTATAGCCCATTCCAGACTTTGGAATTCATATTCAGACACAAATAGAGCAGATTTTTTTTTTTTTATTAAAAAAATTCATTTTTTTGTATGTGCATTTTTTGTTCGTGAAATCCATGTCCTTCCTTGCACATTTGTATGCATGCATGCAACCAAACGCTCATGTTTCTTTTATAGTTTGTGATGATGAAATCTCCACTCGCATTTTATTTTCAATTCATTCAAGTATGAACATAAATTGCAAACTCCAGAAATAATTTATTTCAACTGCAAAAATTGTCAATAGCGGACTTGATTCTCATTCAAAAGCAGTTCCTTCAAGGTTTGTGGTGTTCATTTCCTCAAGTTAAGTGAGTGCTATATCTTTCTGAGGTTTGGTCCATGCAAGATTAGTGCGTGCCAAATATATGTTTCTTTCTTTTTCTCACAACTTTTCTCCTACCTTCACATTTCCAATTCCTTCAGTTTGAACGAGTCCCATAATTGCATTGCTTATAACAATAGCTTCTCTCACAAGTTACATAATAGTACCAACCCAGTGTTTTCGAAACGAACTCCTGCATGACATCTTCCAAATGGCATTGCAAATCCCTCAATTGTAACCTTCAAGGTTGCCATCCGTGACCATGTAATCTCTTGTTGTTTTAATTTTCTTATGATTGTAGTTCCATTTTTTTTTCGTGCTAAAGCAGAGTGCTGGTGAAGAGGAACGCGAGCCAGAGCCGGAGCCAGAGCGCGAATATACACCAGCTGGACGAGCTTTGAAAATGAAGTAGTAAGTCAAGTTTTGTTCAATTGTCAACATGAGCATGTTAACTTGAGACATCAATAGAGTGCTGATATTACAATTTCCTAAAGCAGTTGCTACCAGCAATTATCAGATGGACCGTATGTTTATGGAAAGAAGTTTCGATTATTCAGCATAAAACTGTAGTGAGATCTTGATGGCTGAAAAAATGTTGCACATGAGTGAAACAAATGAGATTAGAAAGAATGACAAAATAGTTCATATATTATTAGCTTACATTCAAAAATATTAAAAAATGCCTAACATAAGGGCTTCAGCTTGAATAAAAAAAAAATGAAAAAGGAAAAGGTAACATTAGTTTGAAGTTCCACAAATCAAAAGAAAGAAGAAATTTTATCAATTTAAAACCATAATCATTATAAACCCTTTTAAAAGATGTGGGTTAGCTAATGAAAGATTGATGGAACAACATTCATCCTTAAAATAAAGAATTTAGCTTGTGTAGGAAAAATATTAAATGAGAAAAATGTCATGCACATTGAATCAAAAAGCAAAATATTGTAGGGAATATTTAACTCTGATTGTAGATTGTGTAATTTTTAACTCTGATTTGTAGATTGTGTATTTTACTTTTTCTTTGCACAGTGGCTAAACTTCGTGCTAGACCAAAAACAATATTTGGTAGGGAATGTTAACTCTGATTGTAGATTGGTGTAATTTAACTTTTTGCCTTTGCACAGTGCTAAACTTCGTGCCTTGACAAAAAACAACGGCTTTGCGCACGGAATGCTTTTTTGAAGAATTACTGCTCAAATGACGGGGTTCCTATACCTGAGTCACATCCTCAAATCTTCCATTGTCACCCGCCCAATGAGGGATCAACGGATCGAGCGATGGAGTTTTGGTTCAGTGCTAAACTTCGTGCTAGACAAAAACAACGGCTTGCGCAACGGAATGCTTTTGAAGAATACTGCCTCAATGACGGGGTTCCTATACCTGAGTCACATCCTCAATCTCATTGTCCACCCGCCAATGAGAGAGACAAGGATCGAGCGATGGAGTTGGTTCAAAATGTCAGAGAGAAGTCTTCAGTAATTGACTTGGAGGATAATAAATTCCCACAGCCATTTGATACATCAAAGACTAAGGCTGATTCAACCTTAAGGCTGGGTCGGATTGCAAAGCATAAAATGAGCAGTCATCTGGATCTCTCCGTTAATTCTCTTGGCCACCCTTCTGCTGAAGTCGTTCTTCCTAGTCACAAAAATCCGGGTGCAAACCCCACAAACTACAACTTGTTACCTGTTCTAGGTCTATGTGCTCCAAATGCTAATCAATTAGAGTCATCACACAGAAACTCTTCAAGATCTAATAATAGACTAAGCAAGCTAGCAACCAGACCTGACTTTCCATTTAGTCTGCCTCCTTCCTCTGGAGCTTCTCTTGAGACAGATGTAAAGTGTCAGGAGATTTCCCCAGACAAACTAAAATTTCAAGATGCACCTGCAGAAATCTTGCAACAGCACCACAAAAATAGTTTGTCAGATGGTTGGCTCCCATTTAGACAGGTACTCTCTCTTTATCTCCGTGCGCACACATGCCATAATCATGCATGCAGATGTATAGACTTTTCCAACTTCTATAAAATTGGAGCTTGCTCATGCAGATTGTTATACAATGTTATAATCTTTTCCTTTTCAGTGTCCTCCGCCTGTCCCACAAGGAAAGAGTTCTGATCGTTTCGAGAGTTATAGCTCAAGCTTTGCTGATTTCCAGGAAAAAATGTCGCTTCCGAATTTACCTTTTGATGAGAAGTTGAGGCCCAGATTCTCAGTTCCTGCTAAAAGCATGCCAATTGCACATGACTTATTGCCTAGCTTATCACTTGGGAGCAGACTTGAATCTGTAAATGACTCTGTGCAAGACCTTCCAGCGATGCCTTTGTTGCCCAATTTGAAATTCCCCTATCAGGATGCGCCAAGATATAATCAGGTAGACAAGGAGATGCCTCCCATGCTGGGTTTGGGTCAGATACCATCTGCCTATCCACCATTTCCTGAAAACCATAGAAGGGTTCTTGAAAACATAATGATGAGAACTGGGTCCGCATCAAATAGCTTGTATAGAAAGAAATCAAGGGCAGATGGCTGGGCTGAAGATGAACTTGATTTTCTTTGGATTGGAGTTCGTAGACATGGACGGGGTAATTGGGATGCCATGCTTAAAGACCCCAGGTTAAGATTCTCAAAGTATAAAGCTGCAGAAGATTTGGCAGCTAGGTGGGAGGAGGAACAGATGAAGATCTTGGATGCGCCTACATTCTCAGGGCCAAAGATGATTAAGCAGGCAAAATCCTCTAAAGCATCCATGTTCCCTGGTATTCCTGAAGGAATGATGGCACGGGCATTGCATGGCAGTAGACTTGTTGCACCACCAAAGTTCCAGGCCCATCTGACTGACATGAAACTGGGCTTTGGTGATCTGTCTACAAGCATGCCACATGAGCCATCAGATCAACTTGGTTTGCAAAATGAACATTTTGGCCCTATTCCAACTTGGAATCCCGACAAATTTCGTACAAATTTTGCTGGAGATTCTTGTGCTGGACCCTCTTCTTCAACTGTTTCTAGTGAAATGCCATTTCTGCTTAATTCTTTTGGAGCAAGCAACTTAGGCTCTCTAGGTTTAAATTGCTCTGGCAGCTTTGATTTACAGCGAAGAGAGGAGGAACAAGGCTTCATGAAGCATGGGAAGTTGCCGAGTCTTCTGGATAGATCATTAAATATATTGCGGGAGTCCCAAAATAATGTTGGAAATGGTGAGTCCAGTAGTTCAGCTTTGTTTCCAGAACAGAATAAGGAGCTAAACATTTCCCATTCAAAGGGGAAAGAAGTAGTTGGCAGCAGTTCTTCAAAGAACAAGCTACCTCATTGGCTTAGGGAAGCTGTAAGTACTCCTGCTAAACCGCCAGAACCTGACCTGCCACCAACTGTATCAGCAATAGCTCAATCAGTTCGTGTACTTTATGGAGAAAATAACCCGACAATTCCTCCTTTTATTATACCGGGTCCACCTCCATCCCAACCAAAGGATCCAAGACGAACTCTGAAGAAGAAAAAGAAGCGGAGATCACAAATGTTTAGGCAGTTCCCACAAGACATTGCGGGAAGCATGCAGTATCTTAAAAGCAGCATTCCTAGCAGCAATACAGCTTCATCGTCTGTTTCACTGGCTCCAACGTTTCAATCACCAGCACCTGTAATTCCTGGAACTTCGGGGCTTTCATGGAATGAATGTGAATCAAGTTCTCGTTTTCCTAATTTAAACATGATGCAGTCATTGGCATCATCTTCTTATTTAAACCTACCAAAGAAAACAACCATGGGATTGTCTCCATCTCCAGAAGTGCTTCAATTGGTAGCATCCTGTGTGGCTCCAGGCCCACATTTGCCATCTAGTTCAGGCATGACAAGCTCTAGCTTCCTTGAAAGCAAGCTTCCCTTATCAAAGTCTGATGACCAAGTAGGAGTTTCAGATTCACAAAATGCTGTACAGAAAAGTAAGGATACTGAGAGCTTGCCTCCTGAAGCACAGGTCACGCTTGCAGAAGATAAATCAAACCAACATGATAGTGGTGATTCTAGCAAGACACAGTCAGATCCTTCCCAGACAGAACAACCTGATGTAGAGGAGATATCGTCAGAGGGGACTCTATCAGATCATCCTGTCAGTGAGAATGAACCACAGCTGTAGTATCAGAATGAAATATGGAAACATTGTCATTCTTTCAGGCTATTAAGTCCCAGGTATTTTCAGTGATGCGCTCGAATTTTTGTAGGCATGATGTAATGAGTGATAATTAAGAGTACATAGGATCATGTAGGAGACATTTTGTGTAAAGTTACTGTTTAGATAAAATGAAAAATACATAGTGTTTTCTGTTTGGTGTTCTTTTGTATCCTTTTCCATTCAAAAACTGTTAGAACTGGTCTCCATTTTGAGCTTGACTGTATAGGTTTAAAAGGAAACTTGAATATTGGTGCCCCATCAGAATAGGTGTTGTAGGCCATCAAATGGGCAGTTATTGAAATAATCAAGTTAATCCATTACAGTTTCTGTTTGTTGTATGGCTCCTCGTGAGTCTTGCAGGCCATTATGCCCTAATTGGTTTTTTTTTTTTTTTTATTTTTTTATTTTTTTTTTCCTTCATAAAGAAAAACTGTTTTTGGTTTTTGTTCTATTTTAACAGGTGAAGAAAACGGATGAAATTTATGGTTTGTCTATGTTGCAACAATTTGTTTCTAATTAAATGGTATATGTCTTTTGCCAAAATGAGATAATTTTGCTGGGTTCAAACATAATTTTTCACTCACATTTTATTTTGGCCTTTTATTTTGACCAAAGGCATAGTTATTATGGAAATATAAAAAAACAGGATCATAATTAAATTCTGCAAAGTTCAAAGGGCCAGAAGGACAATCTCCAAAAGTATAGAGTGAAATTTTCGTATTAAGCCAATTGTATTTGCAAAATTAAGATCACAACAATAATAATGATTTCAAAGAAGCTCTAATGCCAGGAAATTTGGTCCATAGACATATAGCTAGAGATGCTGTTTTCATTTGTCTGCTTAATTAGGGACTTGACAGATTATCTGAACAATAAATATTTTATTTTGGTATGATAATTGAATGAATGGAATGTTTCTTACTTCCTTTTGTAGGCAGAAAGGATACTGTATTTTCATGAATGATGAGATGATGTTTGATTTATTAATTACAAGATCTTTTACCAGAAACAATGAATGGCTCCTTAACTATAGATTGCTCTTTTAAAAAAAAAAATTATTATTATATTAGGGAATAAAATATTTGCTAATTTATTATATTATTAAATGTAATTATGTTGACGTTTGGTCATTAATCACGGAATTTTGTGCCCCACATTAGATGTACAATATTATTGTTCTGTGTAATTTTTCTTGGAGATGGTAGCTCACTTGCACATGCATATCATATGGACGCCTTCTTTTCAAGAAAAAAGAAAATAAAAAAAAAGAAAAAGAAAAATAATTCCTCTGTCTCTCTCTCTGATAGATTCTTCTTTTCTGGCTAATAGTAATATTACAACTAGTACTTTTTCATTAATTAAATTATTGTTTCTGACTTAGTCAAACGTACTTTTTTGAATATAATACATCAGATTGAAACATTAATATATATGTTTTTTTACTTTTCTATAAGAGGTAATTAAAGAAATAATATTGTAATTAAAGAAATAATATTTATCAAATTGAAGGTAATTTTTTTATGGTAAAAAAAAGGTTAAAATACGATACTTTTACTCCCACTTGCCATTAGAAGAGAAAGATGATTGGCAATATTTCTTTATAAAAGGTTGTTATTCCCTACTAGCAAGTCAAATAACTTACTGCCAACTACACTCGTATGCTAGTTATGCACAATGAAATCTTTAACTCTTCCTAATACTCCAACTTTTGCATTTTAGATCAAATAATATAATCTAACAAATAGATTCCTTTTCTTAAAAGATCTCAATAATAAGATTTATCTATATATAAAAAAAGTTTCATATTTACCTTTTTAGCAGTGTTATTAAACTCGGCTCGGACATTGGATAAATGGGTTATTGGTTTAATCGATACATCAATAATTAAAAATATCAAAAAATCAGTTACGAGTCAGACTGTTTCAACCATAGATCAATTGGTTCAATCAATTTTCTTCTGTAAATGGTTTAAAAGCAAAATTAGTTCAGTTTTAAAATTAGTTAGCTAGTTCTCCGGGTTGACCCTTCAAGTTTGATAACTATAGTAAAAAATATTAAAAATTTAAATATTTATTCATTTTCGACAATTATATCTATCAAAGTAGATTCTAAGAGATAACAAAAATCCAATAAAACAAAAAATGTGTTCTTCCACAGATTTATAGATGTAACATAAACATTGGAGTTAATTAACTAATATTAACTAAGATTCAACTTCTTCCATAAGTTAATTATAATAAATCAACTAAAGAAAAAAGATATAATAATAAAGAAAAAAAAACTGTATTTAAGTATCTAGTGAGATGGAGAGACTAGTCTTGGATAAGAAGAAGTTCTTGGAATATTCCCTACGAATCTTGAAGAGAAAGCACAAAACTGATAGTAATCTTGATCATCTACCAAACTCCCACACCCACTCGTATCAAAGTTAAGAGAATAGCTCAGTGGATCATATCGGCACTCCAATGATGATTGCCTACTCGTAGTGGCGGCGCGTAGCATTCTCCCTTGCCTTTTCAACTTCTTCAAAACCTTTCTTAAACCCCAACAACAACAGTCTTGTGTACCGCCATTCTTTTCGACTGTGTTTTTGACCGCGGTGCTGGTGCTGGTGGTGGCAGTGGTGGTCGTAGTATCAGATGCGCCAGTTTTAGTGGTGGTAGTGGAGGTATATTTTGGCAGCCGGAGAAGCCACATTTGTGCCATTTTCTTAGTTAGTGGATGGATTTTTTAGTGGGAAAGGAAAGTGGAAAAAGAACAGTTGAGGGTGTGAGGTTGGGTGTGAACAAATATATAGTACAGGAAGGAGGTGAATTCACGCGCCAAAGTGTAGAGTGGGATATACATTTTGGGTAAAAGTAACTAATTTTAACGTGGGCTCTCATGCAAGGACGAACGTAGGGTGTTTTTTTATTTTTTACACAAACAAAACCTTTTGTTTTGTTTTTCATCATCCACGTGACGGCACGTCAAATACGGTCACCGTTCATCTTTATGCTTGTGTGCTTACTTTTTAATTATTTAATTAATTATTATTTTAAAAAATTAATTATTTTATTTTAAAAATTATAAAAAATATTTAAATATTCATTTATGTCAAAATAATTATTTTATATTTCTCAATAAACAGTTATCTTAGGTGTGGACAAGTTATAGAAGTTTTAAGTGTAATTTTAAATTTTTATAATTGGTGGGAAGGAAAAATAATTTGGAGTTTCTAAATTATGTTTAAATTAACACATAGATTTACGATAAATACTTTTGGTTCAAGTTGGGCTCAGCACAACCACAGTTTATTGTGGTGACAAAACAATAATGCCCTTGAGAAATTTAAGCAGTTGTGTTGATGATGTGATGACTTACTATTGGTGATGTGATGATGTGGTGTCGCTCATATTATCGTTAAAATTTCAACCAATCAGATTTTATGAGGACTGTTGCCGCGTTGTGGCAGGAAAATCGAATCAATAAAGAAACTTGTTTATTATACATCAAAACGATCAGAATTTTGTGAGGATCTCAGCTGTGATATCAATTTTTAGAAATTTTATCAATTTCATTAAGAGCCCCAAATTGCTGAAATTAACCCAAATTTTAAAGTCCTTCCACTAAATCCTTAAGTCAACACATAAAATCAAGTTTAGTTCATAGAAAACTATGAATTCAAGCTTATCTCAACAAGGATTATAGCCAGAATCGTGAAATCCAACCAAAAAGCTCAAAAACAACAAAACTTGAATTTCTTAGTCCGTAAAAATAAGAACTCGATAGATTAAATGGTGATCGGATATAGAATTACTGTAATTGAAGGAGTATTTTGCCATCTTGTTCTCGTTAAATGGTGACTGAAGTTTGATCGGAGAAGAAGAGGCTAGTAAGTCCCTTTCGTCAATTTGATGTAAAGAAAGAAGGAGAAGGAGAAGGAGAAGGAGAAGGAAAAGAAAATATGATTTTCTCTCTCCTTTTAAATTATTTATAGTTCAATTTGGTCTAATTAGAATTTGATTCGATTTGACTCACAAAAATCTTGATTTCTTTGGTTTTCTAGTAGTTTAACTTGAACTATTATAATTAGATTAAACTAAGAAATAAATGCATTAATTGACTTTACATACTTTCCTTAATCGTTAGAAGACTTTTTATATCTATTGAAATGAAGGTACTCCAAATATCAAGCATAATTAATGAAATTGATTCAATACCTTAATTAGCATATATAAATAATCAAAGTCAAGATATTTCAACAACCGCAATAGTAACCATTTTATGATCAAAACGACGTAGTTTTGATGTAGGAAGTTTAAATTAACCCACAAGCAAAACAACATCATTTATGCTAATTATCATTCAAATGCTAATTGTATCATAATAATAGACATCCTAATTATAGATAGTATTATAGTCAAACTTAATACTATAATAACTCTATATTATATGATTACAACTATTATAATTACCACTCTCATTCCAATAATGCTATAATTATAAAATTTCTAATTATCACTAGGTTATAATTAAACCTGTTCGTATTCTAACAATATTGCATATTAATAGTATTATTCATTTGTTTGTGAAGTTATTAGTCCTCTTATTGTTGTAATTATACTTAGCATTATAATACCCGGTAGATATAATGCTTAGTATTGTCAAAGAGAATCATTTTAACTTGGTTTGTTTGTCTATAATTATAATTAAAAATTAATAACTATACTAGTAGTGCAACATTGTTAGAATATGAATAGATTTGATTATAAATTAGTGATAATTAGAAATTCTATAATTATAATACTATTAGAATGATAATGGTAATTATAATAGCTATAATCATATAATAGAAGTTAGTATTAAGTTTGATTATAATACTATAACTATAATAATTACAAGTATACAAGTATATAATATTGTTAGAATATGAATAAATTTGGTTATACATTAGTAATAATTAGAAATTCTATAATTGCAGTACTATGAGAATGATAATGGTAATTATAATAGTTATAATCATATAATAGAAGTTAATATTAAGTTTGATGCCGGTAATAATTATTAATGTTTATAATTGTGATACAATTAGAATGATAATGATTATGAAATAAACCCAAAAATTAATTTTCATAGATTTCTTATTTAAAAATAAAATTTTAATATCAACCAATGAGATTTTACAATACAATATTTTATTATTGCTTAATCGGGCCCGCAAACTAGTTTGAAATCTTTAAAACCAAGAGAAAATTAGATCAAAGCATTGAGTTGGACAAAACCGATTTGAATTGAACCGAAATGATCTAAGAAGCCCTAGGAATTTCTTCTTCTTCCTTTTCTTTTCTTTTTCCTTCTTTTTCTTCTCCTCTTCTTCCCGATCTAGCGCTGCTCAACCCTTTTCTCTCTTCCTCTCTCGTTTTCGACCACCTGAGCTAAACGAACCCATCCTTTGCTCGTCGTTGTGCCACCAGTCTCTCTCTTCCCCTCTATCTGTTTCTGTTTCCAATGGACACAGCAGAGGCAAGTTGACAAGTGAAAATAAGCCTTTAGACGTGATACATTTATTAAAATCTTATAATTACACTTTTATTAGTTCACTCATCACTGGTAACTACCATCGACCACCCGCTATCACTTAGGCCACCACTACAAGTTACTAGCAACTTTTGCAATTTATAGTTTTTTATACATTTTTCCTCATTTATGACATAAAATTTTAAAATATGAAATTTAATGAGTTAATTGAAAATTTTGAAAATTATTTTCCAAATATATAAATTATTTTCTAGAAATAAACGAAGCCTTAGTTTGACTTTCATGTGTTGAGAAAATTCAATTAATATGGTTAAACTATATCTTTTACTCTTTTTTTTTTTTTTTCCTACTGTGCCATCATATTATGAAAAAATTATAATTTATTTCTATATTTTGCCAAAAATAACTACTTTGTCCCTCTATTTTAAAAAATTGCCTATTTTATCTCGATGTATTTTACTATTATATACTATTATCCTTCTATAAAAGTCCAACTTTTGTCATTAAATGTCTTTTGTCATTAATTTGGTTTCATTTCTCTCACGTTTGCATTATGTGCCAAACTTAAGTAAATTTAACAAATAAATTAAAAGAAGTAATTAGATTTGCAAAATTGGAGAACACCAAACTCAATACGTAAAAGTAGAAGAGAAGAGCTTCAAGTTGTCATACACAAGATCAGACGAGAAGATGCGAAAATGAAAAGGAAAAATAACAATAAATCTTGATAATGGTTTTAAAGATTTTAGATCTATGAAACCAAATAATAAAAAAAAAAAGTGAAAAGAAAAGGTAGCAACAAATCTTGATAAGCAATTTCCAATCCAACTAAAAAAAAAAAAAAAAATTCAAATCCCAAATTTCCAATCCCAACTTAAAAATCAATTAAACACCATTACGTAGAAATAAACCAAAATCCAAGAAGCAAAAAAAAAAAAAAAAAAAAAATTCAAATCCCAACTAAATAATCAATTAAACACCATTACGTAGAAATAAACAAAATCAAAGGAAGCAAAAGCAAATCAAATTGCAAGCAAAACATAAAATCCAAAATTAAATCACTTAATAGAAGACCTGAAGATAAAAATCATAAAAGGAGAGAGAAGAACTGATGGCGACATAGAAGAAGAGAGCAAGAATGTCCAACGACGACACCATAGTGATTTGGGAGAGAAATGACAATGGAGACGAGAGATAGAGACCAAAATCTTGCCAAGCTCATGTGTGTTATATAATTTTTGGAAAGTGATGGTGATTTCTAGTGAAGTTAGAGAGGACTTTGGCAAAAAGGTACCTTGAGATGGATTGTGGTTTTCTGTTGGGATTTATCATATAATAAAATGTAGTGGAATAAAATAATTATCATAAATAATTATTCCAACAGGGATCCATTTAAACGATTAATGTAAAAAAAAAAAAAAAATATCTAGAAGAATGCCTCTTTGATTCATTCTTGAGACTTCAATCTATGCGGCTAGGTTATCGCAAACCACATACTGTCCAATTGTTTGGCCTCTAGTAGTATCTACACGAATAGACAATCAAAAAACTCTAAAAGTATTTCAGAGAGTTGAGAAAACAGAGAGTATGGTGGTGCTAACTATCTTACACTTTGTATTTCTATTTTGGTGACTATCCCTGGTTTTAAATCGTTTCTTAAATCTTATATATGAAAGCCTATAACATAAATAAATAAATTTTTTTATTTATTTAAACCTTTTAGACAAATGAATTATAACTAAAACATATATGTGCTTATTTATTTATTTAAATAATTTAAATAAATAAATCATTATACATATAGTACTAGGATTTTCAATATAATGAATTTTTTTTATTTATTTAACTATTTGAATAAATAAATTATAATTAAAATATTAGGTTTATGTAATCTAAAATTTATCTTAATAAATTTTAGACGTAAATTAACTAAGTTAATCCTTAATAATTTAGGTAAAATTGCAATTAAATATAAATTACAATTTTGCTCTTAATGTTCAAAACTTATTTGTAATCAAGTCATACCTGATTTGATTTCTTGTTTTTACTTTCCCATATATATTCTTATATATGTGACCCATTAGCTTTCAAATATGTTGGCAAAATTAATTAATTAATATTTAAAAGTAAAGGACATTGTCTAGCAATATGCCATGACTACCCAAATATTTGAAAAGTCAATAGTG